AAAAGGCAGAGTGACAGAGAAAGGTGGAATGAGTAAGAGAGAGAAATAGATGGAGAGCTTCCATCCACTGAGTCATTCCCTCCAGAGGACCACAGCTGCCAGATTTGGGCAAGGTATATCTGCCTTTCCAATAAAAATAAATAAATTTTTGTTTAAAAAATTCTGGTTCATCAAAACTGGAATTTAGAGAGAGACAGAATTTAGGAATTTAGGAAAGACAGAAAGTGAAAGAGACATTTTCCATTCGCTGGATCAATATGCAAATGGCTGCAACAGCTGGAGCTGGGTCAGTAAAAAGCTTGGAGCCAGACATTTCTTCCATGTGGGAGCAAGGATCCAAAGCCCTGGGCCATACTCTGCTGTCCCTCCCCCGCCCCCAAGGCCATTATTAGCAGGGAGCTGGATCAGGAATGGAACAATCAGGACTTGACAAACACACAGGTGGAGGACTAGCCTGCTCCATCATTGTGCACATCCAGCTTATGACCTGGGAAAGAAGTGGAGGATGGCCCACATACCTGGGCTCCTGCACACATAGGAGACCCTGAAGAAGCTCCCAGCTGCTGACTTAAGATTAGCTCAGTTCCAGCTGTTATGGCTATTTGACGAGTAAACAAGTGGATGAAAGATCTGTCTTTCTCTCTCCTTCTATCTCTGTAACTCTACCTTTCAACTCATTTTTTTTTTAAAGATTCATTTACTTTTATTACAAAGTCAGATATACAGAGAGGAGGAGAGACAGAGAGGAAGCTCCTTCCTCCAGCCGATGATTCACTCCCCAAGTGAGCGCAACGGGTCGATACTACGCCGATCCGAAGCCAGGAGCCTCTTCCGGGTCTCCCACGCGGGTGCAGGTTCCCAAAGCTTTGGGCCGTCCTCGACTGCTTTCCCAGGCCACAAGCAGGGAGCTGGAAGGGAAGCGGGGCTGCCGGGATTAGAACCGGCGCCCATAAGGGAGCCCGGGCGTGCAAGGGGAGGACCTTTAACCACTTGCACCACCGCGCCGGGCCCTGCATGAATCTTTATAGCAGTAGATGACTAAGTAAAATGTGGTAAGGCTGGCTCAAGGGTGGTGGCACTGTGGGTTAAGCCACTACTTGAGATATCCACCTTCCATGGCATAGTTCGTGGGATCGAGTCCCACCCATGCTTTCAATCCAGCTTCCTACTAATGTTCCTGGGAAGTAACAGATGAATGACCAAGTACTTGGGCTCCTGTTATCTACATGGAGATGCAAGTGGCTCCTGGCTTCCACTTGGCCCAGCACTGACTATTGAGACATTTGGAAAGAAGTAAGCCAGCAGATTGGAAAATCAGTATCTCTCCCTTTTACACCTAACACTCTACCTTTCAAATAAAGAAATCTTTTTTGCTTGTTTGAAATGTATTTATTTATTTGAAAATCAGACATACAGAGAGATCTACCATCTTCTGGGTTCACTCCCAAGATGGCTGCATCAGCTGGAACTAGGCCAGGTGAAAGCCAGGAGCCAGGGGGCCCCTCTGGGTATCCCACATGGGTGGGAGCAGCCTGGGAATCTGAGCCATCCCCTACTGCTTTCCCAGGTTTTTAGCAGGAAGCTGGATTAGAAGTGGAGAATTTAGCCTAAATCCTCACCTTGCATCTGCCAGGGTCCCATTTGGGCACCAGTTCATGTCCTAGCTGCACCACTTCCCATCCAGCTCCCTACTCGTGGCCTGGGAAAGCAGTTGAGGACAGCCCAAAGCTTCGGGACCCTGGGCGTGTTTGGGAGACCGGGAAGAGGCTCCTGGCTTCAGATTGGCTCAACTTTGGCCATTGCAGCCACTTGGGAAGTAAACCAGCAGATGGAAGATCTATCTTTTTGTACCTCCTTCTTTCTGTATATCTGCCTTTCCAGTAATAAAAATAAAATAAACCTTTAAAAAAAAAGGCAAAGGGTAACAGGACACTACACGTGGGTGACCTGGCAAAATACTACTGTGGAATCCAGGAAGCTGGGAAACCGGAAGGACTGGGCAGCCTTCATTTCCACTGTTGCCAAAATGAGAATACTGGCCAGCCCTGGGAATGGTGCAGACCTGGAGGGGTCAGCCCTCACCTTCCCCACCAACCTAAGACCCTCCAGGGCAGGGAACAGCCATCCCCAAACTGGAAAGCAGCATCACTGTGTAAGCAACAACTGGCGACCATCACAGCACCATCCACCCCATCCCCAGGCAGCTTGACCCACCACTTTCTCGGCACCATCCCTCCGCCTTTTATTTTTTTTTTTTAAGGGAGATTTACAGAGAGAAGGAGAGACGGTGAGAAGGATCTTGCACCTGCTGGTTAATTCCCAAGTAGTCTCAAAGACCAGAACTGAGCCAATCTGACGTCAGGAGCTCCTTCTGGGACTCCCACACGGGTGCAGGGTCCCAAGGCTTTGGGCCGTCCTTAACTGCTTTCTCAGGCCACAAGCAGGGAGTTGGATGGGAAGTGGGGCAGCCGGGACAAGAACTGGAGCCCACCATGCTATCGTGCCGGGCCCTTCTCTGCCTTCTGTAAGCTGGAAAGCACCTGACAGCTTGATACTTCATTCGATTAAGGAAAGCCAGAACCCGCGGCGGACCACTGTGCCCAGCCCCCGGCCCCGGGACTCCGGCTCTCCCGCAGCCGGCTCTGGCCCAGCCCTCCTGGGACCTGCAGGGGGCGCCCGGGCGCCACGCGCGGCCCCGCCACGCCCCGTCACGTGCCCGCAGCGCCGCGTCACACCCGGAAGCGGCGGCCGGAACGGGGCCGGCGGCGATGAGCGGGGAACCGGGGCCGACGTCCGCAGCGCCCCCTCCCGGGGAGGTGGAACCGGGCAGTGGGGTTCGCATCGTGGTGGAGTACTGGTGAGCGGCGCCGGCCTGGAGGATGCCCTGCGCACCCCGGGGCTGCGAAGGTGGGGTCCCCGCGAGGCTCCTCCCTCGGAACCCAGTCCATCCGCGCCGCATTTCTTGTCTCCTAGTGAACCGTGCGGCTTCGAGGCGACCTACCTGGAGCTGGCCAATGCCGTGAAGGAGGAGTATCCGGGCATCGAGATCGAGTCGCGCCTTGGGGGGACAGGTGAGGCCCGCGGAAGGGCTGCTGAGTCAGGCCGAGCCCTGAACCCCAGCCCTGCCGCGTCTGGCTGGCTCCTCGTCCAAGGGCCAGAGCACGAGGCCCCTTCCCAGGGGGTCGCAGATAAGGGCTGCGAGGCAAACCGGTTCGACTTGAAATAGGGCAGGATTGGAAGGGAGGGGAGCCCTCCTTGGAGTGATAAGCATTTCTTTGAGTTGACTAGGACTGGGGGAATGGCTTAAGGATCTACAGGTGAATCTCAGATGGAGCTGATGAGGGTGAGGGTGGGGCATGAAGGCGCCTGTGTGAAGCCCCACACACGTACCGCTTCTGCCTTAATGTTTGTTCATTCATTTCATGCCAGGGGCCTTTGAGATCGAGATCAATGGCCAGCTGGTATTCTCCAAGCTAGAGAATGGGGGCTTTCCTTATGAGAAAGACGTGAGTATTTGTAGGATCCTGGTGTGTGTCTGGGGGGGGGGTTGGATAATGCCCGGGTCACCTTTCCCCACCAAATGTGTCACCTGTTCGCATGTCTGTCTGCTAGCTCATTGAGGCCATCCGAAGAGCCAGTAACGGAGAACCTCTCGAAAAGATCACCAACAGCCGACCTCCGTGCGTCATCCTGTGACCCCACACAATTCCGAGCTCCTGCTCAGTTCTGGGGTCCCAGCCAGGGTCTCCTGTTTGGGTCTGCTGGGAGCATCCCCACTCTTTCCTTTCACTTTGCTCCAGGTAGCTAAGTGACCCTGACTTCCACTTTGCCCCTTTGGAGACCAGGAGGGAATCAAGGCGTCAGACACAGAGGGACACCCTGCAGGGCCATCTGCACAGCCACCTGATGTCCCCTCCCCGCTCCCCCGCAGGCCCAGAGCCCAGCCCCCTCCTCAGCCTGGCAGTACCTGTTGGATGCCACAGTAGAGCTAAGTTATTCGCCCTAAGACCCAGGTAACGTCAGCTACTGGCAATAAAGAGGCACTAAAGCCCTGTACTGGCAAGTGTGTTCATGTTCACTGCAGGCAGCCAGCCCTGGCACCCCCTAGCAGGTGGGCTTCTCATGGCCAAGGCCTTTCTCTCTGCCACCCGGTCACCTACACCCCACAGCCAGCAGCAGGAGGTGACGCCATGCTGGTGGGTGGCCTTAACAATGAGATTGTTCCAAAAGAATAATCTGGTTATCAAATCAGAAACTCAACTGCCCGATGCCCCGTCCATCCTAAAGCCTGAGGGGCAGGACGCCAGCCCCTTGCTATCAGGCACACCATCAGGAAGGGAGGAGAGTACCAGAGCAGCAGGGTTGGCACTCCACGCCCCTTTCTGCCCCAACGTAGGCTAGTGCCAGCAACTGTTTTCCAAAATATATTTGCAGATGGAGTCAAGTGGGTGTAGAAGGAGGACATCCTCCTCCATACGACTCCCACTCACCCCTGGGTCCTTATTTCATCTTAAAAAAAAAAAAAAAAACAAGTAAAAACAAAACAAAAAACACTTTGTACAAGGGTGGGTCTGGACGCTGGGCCACTCCCTCCTTCCTGGAAACGGTGCCACAGCGTGGGATCAGCCTGAACGGGCAGCACTTGTTCCGGGATGCTCCCTCAGGCCTCTTCCCCTCCTGGGCCCAGCTACGTTCAGTCCCTCAGTACCAAGCCTCTGCCTCGCATGAGGAGGCTGTGGCTATGGCATTTGTTGGTGCCTTGGGTGTGGTGGTGCAGGGCTCCAAAGTCAGCCAAGGTAAACCCCACTCTTCCAGCCTGGCTGAGCCCCTCCCAGCCACCTGGGGACACAGCAGGGAGAGAATGCCGTAGGACATGTGCTTGCCATGGCAGGTGGCCCTGGAGGTGCTCACAGGGTCCTCTCCTCGCCTCCTGGTCATGTGGCTGGAAGTCGGGGCGCCCCCGCTCCAAGTGAGGGCACAGCAGGGCTTCAGTGGACTTGACCTCGTGGGTCACACTGGCACGTCCAGGCCCAGGTACTCAGGGTTCTCTGCCGTGGGAGTCCCTTCAAAGGTGCTGGGTGGAGACCCCCGCTCTGCTGGGTCCTGGTCCCAGTAGTAGAGGTTGTCAAAGGCTGGGCTGAAGGCAGGAGGAGAGTGGGGCTGAGGGGGAGCCCCTGCCCGGGGGGCCAAGTACTCAGGGTTCTCCACAGCACCCCCGAAGGCAAAAACGTCTTTGACGACCCCATTCTTCCCAGGGGAGAGAGTCTTGGGCCTTTCCAGGGTGGCTCCAGCTGGCCGGGCAGGAGACAGAGGGCCCTCCAGTGGGGAAGGGGGCTGCGGCCGGACCTCAGGCTGGTTCACATATTCTGGAAGGACAGGAGAGAGTCAGGCTTGTGCCTGCCACCACCACAGCAGAGCCCCGCCCATGCCTGCCCATCTCACACAAGCCAAGAATCCATACCGGGCTGGGGGCTGCAGGTCAGGGGGGGAACATATCCGTCCGTCTCTGGGGGCAGGGGTCCTGTGGGGTCCTCACTGTACCGCTGCAGAGGGTTGGGGTCATGTGGGGGGAGGCTCTGCAGCCCCTTGGCTGCCGCCATCCCCAAGTCACCATCAAACACGTCGGAGCCAGCCCCTTCCGAGGGGGCCGCTGGGGACCTGGGTGGCTCCTCTTCACTCGGCTCCAGCCCCAGTGTCAACTCACCACCGCCACTCTGGGGACAAGACAAAAGGCCATGATGGAAGTCATGCACAGATCTGGGGTGGTGACCCCATGGGAAGTGACAGGGTCAGGGGACAGGACACAGTGGCAGCAGACAGGTTGGAGTCACAGGGACCAGAAGGCAGTAGGAACCCCTCCCCCCACCAGGATTTCCATGAGACAAGTGGAGTGGAACATCAAAGGAAGGTCCCCCTGGGGTTGGGGGAAGGTGCTGACCCTGGTGGATGAGCTGCGATGCCTGCGGTGGGCTGTGTTTGCAGTGCCCGGGGCAGGGTCTGGGCAGAAGAAACCCTGCTGGGGCACCAGGTACTCCTCAGCGTCCACCAGATCCCCCATGTCGTCATCCTCCAGCAGCGAGCGGTAGAAAGTGCTGTCCAGCGGGCTGGCAGAGCCCAAGTCCTCATTCTGGGGAGGAGGAGGCACAGGGTGGCAAGCTCGCGGAGGGCAAAGGGCTCCCAGGAGTTCCTTGTTCCCACCCCTGCCCAGTAGGAGTGGTGTGGCAAAATGGGGCAAGAAGACCCAGTACCTGGATGACCACAAAGCGCTGTGGATCCCTGGCCATGCGGGAGAATTCAGACACCAACTCCCGGAATCTGGGCCGACATTCGGAGTCTATCATCCAACCTGGGACAGAAGCAAGCTCAGCATCCCAGGCCTGGTGCTCCCTCCCCAGTGTGCTAGCTTGCATCCCTGGGAACCTCTGGCCCGCCTCCCCTCTGGACAAGACAACCCTCACTGACAGCCCAGGGCCTGCAGGGAGTAGCAGCAGTCCCAGGCTCTGTGGCCTTGTGCCAGAACCTCTGGGCATGCCTTGTAGCTTCTCCTTTTAACATGCATGGAATTCTCCCTCACTAGACTCCCTAGACTTTATAGAAGGGGCTCCTCTATACCAGGCCACTGGGCTCACATGCATCAGGTTCCTGACCCCCCCTCCCAGCGCACCCGGCTTGGCCACGCACATTTGACCATGATCATGTAGACATCAATGGTGCAGATTGGGGGCTGGGGCAGCCGTTCCCCCTTCTCCAACAGGTCAGGGATCTCCCGGGCTGGAATCCCATCATAAGGTTTGGCTCCAAAAGTCATCAGCTCCCACACAGTCACCCCTAGGACAGAGACGGGGGATCGACGGACGGCAGCTTTAGTGTCCTTAGCCCTGAGGCACTGCCCAGGAGCCTGGCACTATGGTGGCAGTGGGACTGTGATGTCCAGGGTCAGACCTACCCAGTCCTCCCCTGGTTCCTGGGAGGTGGGCATGGGCAGCCCTTGCCTCCCCCAACACATACCTACACTAAGATGTACCTGAGTCTTCCCCAGCCCCACCCCATTCCGCCACGCACCATAGCTCCACACATCACTCTGATGGGTGAACCGCCGGCGGAGAATGGATTCCAATGCCATCCACTTGATGGGCACCTGGGAGGACATAGGACGTTTTCCAACTGGATGTGGCAGGAGATTGATGGTCTCAAAGTTCTCCGGGGGGTGGCAGCCCCCACCCCACCCAGCCTCACTCTGCTCCTGCCTCTGACCTTGCCCCCATCAGCATGGTACTCTGTCTCGTCAATGTCCAGCAGCCGAGCCAGCCCGAAGTCTGTGATCTTGACGTGGTTGGGGCTCTTGACCAGCACGTTGCGCGCAGCCAGGTCCCTGTGCACCAACCGCACCTCCTCCAAGTAGCTCATCCCCTGGTAGGGGAGGCACCGGTGTGGACCTTTGCATAGGGCCTCAGCTTACCCCTCTCCCAGGGAACGAGCCCACCCCTGGCCCCATAAAGACTAGGGTCTCCTCCCCAGGAGCCTGCAGAGCCCAGGCCCCCCAAAAGCACATACCTTGGCAATCTGCACACACCAGTTCAGCAAGTCCTGGGAGCCCAGGCGCCCACGGTGCTCGCGGACATGGTCCAGGAGGCAGCCATAGGGCATCAGCTGTGTCACCAGCTGTACTGTGGATGTCAGGCAGATGCCCAGGAGGCGGGACACGTACGGGGAACCCACTCCGGCCATCACGTACGCTTCCTGGGGGGTCAGAGGATACTGAGAAAGTGGCAGAGACCACCAACCCTGGCCCCACTGCCATCCAGGATTGGGGACCCTCAGCCCACCAACCCCAACCCATCACAAAACACAGCTGTGGCCCACACACTGGAGGGGTTAAGGGTTGAAGTTTAGGGGTGGGGATCTGTCCCCTTTCCCCCAGATATCAGTTTAGAGGGATCAGAGCCCTGGCTGCGGGGCTGTGGGAGGGAGAGCAGGGGCTTACGTCCAAGATTTCTTTGTTGGCTTTCGGGGAGGTGTTTTCCCTCAACACTTTGATGGCCACAGGAATTTTCACATTCTCCCCATCAGGGATCCAGATGCCCTGAGAGGAAAAATGCAGAAGTGACTCACCCTGCTCCACTGGGGGCCGTTCCCATTTCCAGAACACCCCTTCCCTGCCCATGGGCCTAGCTCCACAGGCTCTTCTGACCGCCGGCACCCCCCAGACCCCCGGGACCAGCCGTTCACCCCAGCCTCTGACCTTGTACACTGTGCCGAAGGCTCCTGAGCCAAGCACCTTCACCTTCCGCAGCTCCGTCTCCTTCAGGATCCGCATCTGGGCCTGGTTGGGCATCGCTCCACTTGGTGTGAGAGGCTCCACCAGCTGTAGGGCGGAGGTACCAGCTCAGTGCTGGGGCCGGGGGACCCAAAGGGGAGCAGCCACAGCCTCAGGCCAGCGGGGAAGCCCTCAGCCAGCCCGGCTCACCTCGGTCTCCTGCAGCAGCCTCCGCATCGTGTACTTGCGGATCTTCTGCCGCCGTCGCTTGATGAAGATCCCCAGGACCGTCCCCATGAGCACAACGAGCAGAACGCCCACCACAGCGGCGATGATGGATGTCACGGGGCTAGGGGCAGGAGCCAGGGTCAGGGAGCGGGAGGGGGAAGAGAGCCCCCATGGAGGGATGACAGGACAGTCCCTAGCTTTGGGAGTGGGGGCCACAACCTCTGACACTCTCTTTCCTATTCTAAAACCTGCTGTGGATCCCCCACTACTCTGCCAGGAAGACCAAACTCCTTGCCAGTCACTCTAAGCCCTTTAAGGATCTCCAAATCATCATATATTTGCCCTTGGCCATGGCTCAGGGCTGAAAAGTCACTAGGAGCTTGTTAATATGCACCACTATGGAGCTGGGCCCCTCCCGAAGATTCTGCTTGCTGTGTGGGGTGGGGCCCAGGAATGCACACCCAGCCATTCCACTATTACTGTGGGTCAAACAGAACCCAAACAACTATTCACCCAAGGTCATGACCGCCACACCTCCCAGCCTTTGCCCACGCCCTTCCTCTGCCTGGACCACCACTTGTCCATGGGCTCCTCTTTGAGAGTCAGTCATCTGGGGTCTGCTGGAGCCGTGGAGCCAACACTCCAGGCATCCTTGTCCCTCTCCTGCCCCACCCCACTCCCCTCCTCAGCACAGGGCCTGGCATGGAACAAGCCTCTGAGAAACACTGCTTGGAATCTGCTTCTCCCCAAAGCTCCCTCACTGCCTAGACAATCAAGTCCAACCCCATGGCCTGGCGGTCAAGGCTTATGTCCTCCAGATCCAACCCCAATCTGACTCTGACCTCACTCCTTCATCCCTCCCTGTGGACACTCAACAACCATAAGCTAGGCCCTGTGGACACGGCCTGGATATTCCGGCTGCACCCTTCCCTAATACGACCTGAATGCAGGTGAGATACCTGCTTCCTCTTTCGAAGCCACCTCCTCCTTGAAGCCTCCCGCCACCCCCAGCTCAGCATCTCTCCTATTCTGGTGCCAGTGCTGCAGCTGCACCTTCTTGCCCTGCCGTGTCCCTCAGGAGACACACAGCCACTCCCGGGAGCCAGGACCAGGGATGACCATCTTTCCTGGAGCCTCCCTGCACCCTGCACCCTAAATAAGCAGGAGTAGCCCACCCGTGACAGAGAGGACTGGGGAGGGAGATATGCTATGGGAATGACCCCCTCCCTGCAGCAAGGGCCCCCAAAGGATGTCCTGGGCATGAAGGGCCAACCTGGCTCTCTGCTCGGCAGGGCAGCCCTTGTCATCCAGGTCCACGCAGCTGTGGAAGAGATAGACCCATCATCAACAACTCCAGGCAACGCCTTCCAGGCTCCCGGGACCTCACCACACCCACGGGGGTGGGGCCGGGTTATTATACCCATTGACAAAGGCAGAAACTGGGCACAAGGTCGCCACCCCAAAAAATTATTTCTTCTCTAGCTGGGAATCTACATCCTTTGCTCCCTGGGATATGTGGGGGTACCCAGAACACCCAGCCCTTCACCTCCCCAGTGGCTTATCCCCTGAAACTGCCTGCACTTCTGAACAGAGAGGGTGGGAGGCTGCACAGGCCTGCTCACAGGGATAGAGGTCAAGTGCACACACTCACTACCCCATCAAACATGGACAGGGCTAGATTACACCTTGGTTACAGATTACACCTTGGTTTCTGAAAAGGACAGTGTTACAGGCAGATGCCCTAAGATGAGCGAAAGCACAGGACAGGACCAGGGAAGAGAGAGGGGGTACAGATAAGCACGAAGACGCAGAAGGAGAAGCGAGGGCAGTGAGTTCCACAGCCCCATGGGGTGACAGCCACAGCCCCTATAACCAGCTGGACATTTTATTAAGACTTGGAGGGAAAGAGCTTGAAGATTCCAAACGTAGAGAAATGATAAGGGCCAGCACTACGGTGCAGTGGGATAAGCCGCTGCCTGGAACTCTGGCATTCCATATGGGTGCAGGTTCAGAAAGTCCCAGCTGCTCCACTTCCGATCCAGCTCCCTGCTAATGTGCGTGAGAAAGCAACGGAAGATGGCCTGAGTGCTGGGAACTGTTACCCATGTGGGAGACTTGGATGAAGCTCTTGGCTTCAGCCGAGGGCAGTGCCAACTGCTCTAGTCAACTGGAGAATAAACCAACAAATGAAAGGTTCATTCTCTTCTCTGTCTGGCAGATAAATACATATTTTTTTTAAATAAAAAATTTTAAAAAGGCGCACTGCACAATCCTACATGAATAACCTTGTTGCAGACATACACACAAAGCCAATCCAACAGTAGACCAGATGAACTCCGCGAAACTGCTGTGTCTGGATCCTCTCTGACTTATACAAACAGCACTCCCAAGAGTCAACTGAGTACACACACTCATAACAAGTGTGAGCAGCAAAGCCTACCAGCCCACACCCAGGGGGCCATGCGGTACTCCCTGGAGCAGGCGGGACAGCCATGTAAAAGGGTGTGTTTGCAACATTTATAGTGTTGTGTTGCTAAAAATGTCCACCACAAGTAGGTGTAAGGATAATCAAATAGAAAAATTAAAATAAGGGAGAGGCTGGCATAGTGGCGCATCAGGTTAATCTGCTGCCTACAACACTGCAATTTCATATCAGAGATGTAGTCCCAGCTGCTCCACTTCTCATCCAGCTAGCTCCCTGCTAAAGCAGTGGAGGATGACCCAAGGGCTTGGGCCACCCCCCACTCACGTGGGAGACATGGATGAAGCTCTTAGCTTCTAGTTACAGCCCTGGCCAAGTCCTGGTTACTCTGGACATCTGGGATGAACCAGTAGATAGAGGTCTCTTTCTCTCTCTCTTTTTCCTTTCTCTGTCACTCTGCTATCAAAATAAATAATATTTCCCAAAAAAATTAAGATTGATTACTGTGTGGAGCCATGGAGAAACATGGCAAGAATATGCTAATTAGGAAGGTAATTTGCAAACAATACACATGGGTCTATTACTTCATATTGTTTTTTTTTTATTGGAAAGGCGGATATACAGAGAGGAGAGACACAGAGGAAGATCTTCCCTCCGATGACTCACTCCCCAAGTGAGTGCAACGACCGATGCTATGCCGATCCGAAGCCAGGAGCCTCTTCCAGGTCTCCCATGCGGGTGCAGGGTCCCAAAGATTTGGGCCGTCCTTGACTGCCTTCCTGGGCCACAGGCAGGAAGCATGGATAGGAAGCGGGACTGCTGGGATTAGAACCGGCGCCCATATGGGATCCCGGGCATGCAAGGCAAGGATCTTAACCACTGCGCCACTGCGCCACCGCGCCGGGCCCCTATTACTTCATATTGTAAAGAAATACATGCTAGGGGCCCTGCACAGTAGCCTAGTGACTAAATCTTCACCTTGCCCATGCCAGAATCCCATTTGGGCGCTGGTTTATGTCCTGACTGCTCTACTTCCTATCCCATCCCTGCTTGTGACCCAGGAAAACAGTAGAGGATGGCCCAAAGCCTTGGGACGCTGCGCCCATGTGGGAGACCTGGATTCAAAGCTCCAGGAGCCTGGCTTTGGATTGGCTCAGCCTCAGCCATTGTGGCCACTCAGGGAATGAACCAGAGGATGGAAGATCTTTATGTCTCGCCCTCTCTCTCTAAATCTGACTTTCCAATAAAAATAAATAAATCTTAAAAAAAAAGAAGAAGAAGAAAGAAAGAAAGAAATGCATGTTAGAATGTGTATGGATGAAAGCTACTGGGGAGGGGAATATTTCAAATTATTAGCCCAGAACTGCTGGCAACATTTGTTGTCCTTCAAGCTTCAATTGCAAAGTGCTAACATGTTACTTTTGTGATCAGAAAACCAGAAAGCAAAGAGTAGAGTTTCGAGTTAAAAGTGGAGTCGTGCCCTGCCCTGCCTTTGCAGCAAGAGCCCCAGAGTTTTCTGACATGTAGACCCTCCCTTTTGAGGAAAAGGTCCCTAGACTCACGCGTGGGTGCAGTTGATGGGGCACGGTTGGCATGTGCCCTCCTCATCCGGGAACTTCCAGACGGGCATATAGGAGAGGTCAGGCTTCACCCCGCTGGGACAGCGAGCCACGCAATAGGAAGCATCCTTGTAGTGGGCACAGGCCACACATTGGTCGGCCCCCTGGGTGGGGAGGAAGAGTTTGTGGGGGGGCTGGCATTGACTCCCCCAGGCCAGCAACATTGGGTTGTTGGATTCTGCCTTCACTGGTGCCACTGTTCTCCCTGCTCCCTAGGCATCCCTCCCTCGGCAGCCCTGCTTTGAGCCAGCACAGCTCAGAGAGTAGACCAGCAACCACTGGGCACCAGTGGTTATGGTGGAGAGACAGCCTGGGCAGTGCTTGGGCACTCTGCCAAACCTTGTTTCATTTCACTCTGACCACACCCCAGTGAGGTGGTTACTACGATAACATTCACTCCATAAGCCATAAAAACAAGGTTGCCAGCAGGGCCTGGAATTGAATCCAGGTAGGAGATGCTTGAGCTCACGGCTCTGACCGCCTGAGCTTGGCCAAGGCCAAGAACACAGGCCGATTCCCAGGGTCTCTGCATCCCAGCCACCCTCACCTGCCACCCAGTGTGAACTGTGAGTGCTGTGGTCCCTCGCCACCCAGCCGGGCCCCAGAGCCCCCTCCCCTCACTTGGAGCATAGCAGAATCTCACCGATTCAAAGCAGGTGACAGAGCCATTCTGGGGCTGACACTCAGAGTGACAGGGCAGACAGTGCCTGTCACTCACGTACTCCCTCGGGAGCCTGAGGGAAGGGACAGGTGGTGAGGGGGTCTGCAAGGAGCCTCCATGCACTCCCCCCACTGCCCCTCCTCGCCCCACATACCCCTGCAGTACTCGGCATTCCTCCACACACTCCTGGCCTCGAAGGAACTGGCTGCAGGTGACACACTGGGTGGGCCCCGGCCCCCAACAGTGACCGTGGGCGCACAATGAGTAGCAGGCCAGGCCTTCACCCGCTGCAGTGAGGAGGAAGGGAGCAGAGGGGACTCAGGGCAGGCTCCAGGTCCGATGATCCAGGGGAAGGGACTGTGGACAGGGGACTGAGTGCTGGGCAATGCAAGGAGAGGTAGCTGTGGCCTCACAAAAGTCCAGGAATGGGGGAACGGACAAGGCAGCACTCGGACCGTGTGGTAGGACCCTGTCACAAGCCATATGGAGAGTCCAAGCCAGAGTGCTGTTCCAGGGATAGGGCAGCCCCCAGAAAGCTGCTGTCGGGGGGAGGGGAGGGATGGGGTCCCTGTCAGTGCAGGTGGTAGGGGTGGAGTCCATGGTGCTGGGTTCCAACTTACTGCACTCGCTTTCTGGTCGATTGCCGCTTTGCAACAGCGCTTGGTGTGGGTTCCGGAAGAGCTGCTCCCAGGGCACCGTGTGCACAAAGCAAAGCCGGGGGTTGCGGTGGATGAGGGCCAGGCCGCTGCCCAGTTCCCGCAATGAGCGCAGCCCCAGCCAGCGGATGCCCAGGCCTTGCAAGGTCAGTGAGTAGGCGCCACTGCAGGGCGGAGGCAGGCAGGAAGATGAGTAGCATTCAGGGCCTGGGTGCACACCTGCCCAGCCCTTCCAGCCCCTCCCATACCCTCACTTTCTCACAGGAACTCCTCCCACCCACCCCCAACTCTGGTCATGTCCCTCTCCCCCAGCACTCACTCATGCAGAACTCGTCCCCGGATGACTCGGAGGTTCTGGAAGACACTGAGATCAGGCAGGCTGTCTGGCCATGCAGCAATGTACAAGTAACCTGCAGGCGAAGGGGGAGGCTGTGTGGGTGAAGGCAAGGCCAGGATGCCCTCCCAGCCACACACATACACCCAGTTTCTGCGGAACACGGCACAGACAGCCCACCTGTAATCTCTTCCAGGGTTCCAAACACTCTGAGCTGCTCAAGCGAGAGCGGGGCAGTGGCAGAGGCTGGGTCCCTAGGAAGATAAGGGAAGGAGTCGGTTGGACCAAAAAGCAGGGTGCTCATGATCTGCTACTCTCCCTGCCCTCCACCACCCTCCAAGTAACACCTTCACTTCAGCCCCTCTCAGCCCAGCAAGCCTGGCTGCCCTGTGCTAAACTTGGCAGCCGAGGCCGGGCCTGGCAGCATCCACTCTGCTAGAGGGAGAGTTCTTCCTTCCAGGAATGTGCCCAGAAGGGCACTGGCCCCCATGGCCAGAAGTATGCGGAAGGCAGGAATGCTTCTAAGAACAAATAGCAGAAACAACCTAACCATCCGTCCATAGCCAGGGAAGCCGCTGCAAAACCTGGATTCAGCCACAAACTATACAAACAGCATCCCACACACGCTGTCACCCTTTCCCAAGGTGGAAGCTGGTCTTGTGTACCCATTTTACAGATGGAAAGCAGGCACAGCAGGATGAAAAGCATAAAACTAGGTAAGTTATTCAGCTTGATGCAAATGCAACTTGACTGGCCTTCCCAAATCAGGGCTCCCAATTCCGTCTCCTGCAGCTTGAAAGATGGAGGTTGCCTGGCTGGGTGGTGGTTGCCCAGCTCACCACCACAAGGAACTGGCAGTGCTCACACACATGCTGTCACCCACACACTCCCACCTCCCCATTTTCCCCATGAAAACCACCATCCCTCTCCCCGCCTGTGTCCGTGCGCATGTAAACAGCCCAGATAAACATGTCCCAGTTGTGCACAAGCAGAAAGGGGCGTAGAGAGGAAGCAGGTGAGTAAGGGATGCGTCCCCAGGTCTTTCACTGAAGCATAATTTGACAACGACGCCATGGGCAGAGGCTGGCATGCAGTGGCTGAGTGTGGGCAAGTGCACTGTCTCCTGCACCCCCCACGGCACACACCGAGCCCTCCCCTCGACCCAGGAATGTCCCTTGTGCCCCCTGTCACACCTCCAGCCCCAGGACAACCACTGCTCAGATCTCCCTCACCACCCGGTGGCCTTGTCTGTTCACAATCTCACCCAGGGACCTCAGACAGTGTGGGCCCGTGTGACCTGAGACTCTTCCAGCCTGTGTGTCAGGTGCTGTTGACTTTGGGGTGCTGAGAGCATGCTGGCATTAATACATCACCATCCTAGCATGAAGTCCTCACTCTGTGTATTAGTATCTCTGTTTTCAACAAACAGGACACACGTGTATGTATATGATGTCTATATTTGGGCCCAGCACCATAGCACAGCAAGTTAAGCCTCCACCTGCAGTGCTGGCATTCCACATAGCTGCCAGTTCTAGTCCCAGCTATTCCATTTTCCATCCAGCTCCCTGCTTGTGGCCTGTGAAAGTAGTGGAGAATGTCCTAAGTCCTTGAGCCCTGTACCCATGTAAAAGACCCCCGAAGAAGCTCCTGGCTCCTGGTTCCTGGCTTTGGATCAGCTCAGCTCTGGCCACTGCGGCCATGTGGGGAATGAACCAGCAGATGGAAGATCTTGCTATCTCTCCTCTCTGTATATCTGCCTTTCCAAATAAAATTAAAAAGAGTATCTACCACTGTTTGTTTTGCATTAACCTGCTGGTGTGCATTTATTTACAACTTAGGTTATTACCAATTAAGCTGTAAAGAACTCAAAGACAATTTCCCTTTAAACAGATGCTCTCACCTCCAGATAAGTCCATGGTCGTGGATAACATGTCATTTGTAAAAGTCTTATCCCTGCCCTGTCTCTCTCTCTCTCTCTCTCTCTCTCTCTCTCTCATACACACACACACACACACACGCGCTCTAGCTCTCTTTGGTTTCCTGCTTGCATCCTTTGCATTTCCAACCGGCATCCCCTCAGACGTGCCACCACATCTGGGTCTTCCACTTGTCCTGACACTACCTCAGGCCATGCTGTCACCCTTACCCTTCAAAGCTCTCAGGCAAAAAGGCCAGGCTCCCAAAGATCTTCTTGCAGCCGGCAAACTCTTGGATGTTGGCGCTGGTGACTGCCCTCACCTCCCGCAGGTGCTCCATACCCAGACCATAGCACACTGCAGAAGTGGGGGCAGAAGATGAGGCTCGACCACCTCTCCCTGATCTGGGCACAAGCCCCCTCCCCACACCAACAGCAGAGACAAGGAAAGCATGTGGGGCTGCTCTGGGAGGGACCCGAGCACAGCTGGTGGGAGAAAAGGGAGGTCCCAGGAAGGGGGTTGCCCAGAGTAGGGAACCAGAGGGACAGGAACTGCGGCTGGCCAAGGCGGGAATGGGATACCTCGGGCACAGGGCTTGCTGCACTTCTCACACCGCTGGGTTCCGTCCTCAGTTGTCACCTCCTGGTTGTTCAGGGGGCAGACCAAGGTGCAGGAGCCCACATCCGTAGACAAGTAGTTATCTGCGGGGATTAGGAAGACACATCCTGAGCAACAAGCCCTTGTCCAGGTACAAGAGCAACGGCAAGAGTCACCCACAAGGGCCCAGTGCGATGGCTCAGTGGCTAAATTCTTGCCTTGCACCCACCAGGGGCCCATTCATGGAGCCAGTTCATGTCCTGGCTGCTCCACTTCCCATCCAGCTCCTTATTTGTGGCCAGGGAAAGCGATAGAGGATGGTCCAAAGCCTTGGGACCCTGCACTTGCATCGGAGACCTGGAAGAGGCTCCTGGCTCCTGGCTTCAGACAGGCTCAGCTCCAGCCATTGTGGCCACTTTGGGGAGTGAACCAGCAGATATCTTTCCTTCTCTCTGTAAATCTTTTTCCAATAAAAACAAATTAAAAAAAAAAAAAAAGTTGGGCCCGGCTCGGTGGCGCAGTGGTTAAGGTCCTCGCCTTGCACGCCCGGGATCCCATATGGGCGCCTGTTCTAATCCCGGCAGCCCCGCTTCCCATCCAGCTCCCTGCTTGTGGCCCGGGAAAGCAGACGAGGATGACCCAAGGCTCCTGGCTTCGGATCGGCATAGCATCGGCCCGTTGCACTCACTTGGGGAGTAAATCATCGGGTGGAAGATCTTCCTCTCTGTCTCTCCTCTCTGTACATCCGCCTTTCCAATAAAAATAATAAAAATAAATCTTTAAAAAAAAAAAGTCCCCTGTGGGTCCAGACTTGGTGCCTGAGCACCTGCTCTTCCTGTCTACTCATGGCCACCCTAGGTCAGATTCCCACTTTATAAAAAGAGAAAGCAAAGCAAAGAGCTACATAAATGACTCCGAGTCAGCTGCACTGCTCAGTGGGGGAGCCTGGATGCAAGCCTAGGTGGCAGACTCTCACCCACCATGCTCACCCACCATGAGGTGGCACAACCAGGACCCAAAGGCCTACTCCTGCCTCTTGCGAGAGGCAGAGGGCCGTTCCTAGGACCCAACTCTGCCCGCACATGCTCTTCAGTAAGCAGGGAGCCGCCAGACAAAACGCCCTGATTTACCCAAACTATAGAACAAAAACTAGCCTTCAGTGCACAATGCCATTACCTGGCAATGTAAAAGCTTGGCAAATGTCAACTCATCGCCAACTTCATCACCGTCCCATGAGCTAGGAACTAGTCTTACCCCAGTTTCACAGATGAGAGTGGGCTAGCCAGGTTTAAACCAGCTAGTGTGTCTCCCCCAGGCCTGGGCTGATTAGCTGCCTCTCCTGCCCACCAGGAGAGGAAAGAGGAAAGGTGGCAGCCAGAGGTCCACAGCCCCAGCCCTGCAACCTAACATCCCCCTGGACTCACAGGGACAGGTGGTCACACAGCTGGCACCAAAGGTGTAGCGGCCCTCAGGGTTGGGCATGGACTCAAATGTGTCGGTGTTATAGGTGACCAGGGCTGGGCAGTGCAACTCGCAGATGCCGCTGTGGTTGAAGTGCAGGCAGGCCTGTGGGAGGGCAGCTGGTGTCACTGGATTGCCAGGGGCATCACCAGGCAGGGTGCCCTCCCCTTCCTCAATCCCCGGGGGAGGCGGGCCAGAGAGTGAGGCCCCATAGGCCCAGGCATCAAGGTTGTGTACCAGACAGTCGGAGTGTTTGGGGCCTGTGCAGCCGGCGGCACACTGCTCGTGACAGCAGTCCGTGGGCAGCTGGCCCTTGCAGCGGGCGCAGCCTCCAGCACAAATCGTGCGTGTCACTGTTGGACAGAGGGTAGGGTGAGGATGGGCACATTTTTGCTGGGAAACGTCCTCCCCTTCTGAGGACACCCCACGCCTCTTATCCCACCCTCACCCCAGCTCCCCTGCCTCCCCAAGAACTCACAGCTCTGACAATTTTCAGGACCTTCTCCCCAGCAGCCAGAGGCTTGGCAAGCTGGAGAACATGGGGCGCCTGCGGAGAGGATCAGAGCACAGCAGCAATGAGACACAGCAAGCAAAAGGAGCAGGCAGGAGCAGGCAGCACCAACAGCAGCCATGGAGACCCGGGGAGGATGCGGGGCGTTGTTGGGGGGACAGGGAGGAGGGCAGAGGTGATCAAGGAATAGGGATGGCCAAAGACTGGACACAGCATATCCCAAAGCAGAGGAAGACAGGATCAAGAACCACAGATGCCTGCTGGAATGGCAGAGCGAGGCGGTGTAGGCTGCGGGGCAGGAAGGGGCATGGCTTACAGGTCCGAGCGCGGCTGGTATCTATGCGGGTAAGAGCCAGCCGGTTGTTCTTGTGGAAGATGTCCTGCCACAGAATGGTGTCCTGGTAGCAGAGCTGTGGGTTCCGCTGGATCAGGACTCCTCCTTTCAGGATCTCTGTAGGGCAGACATCAATCATGCAACACACCCTTCCCGGATGTCCATCACTTTGTCTTCTCCTGGGGCTCCCTCTGCCTCTCAAACAGGCCCCAGGATTTTTCCTGCCATCATATACACCCTCCCCTCAACACACACACACACACACACACACACACACACACACACACACACACACACAGCATCCAGATGCCCATGTACACGTGACCTCTTTTCCTGTCCTCTCTAACCTGTGCACATTGCCTGGTTGTAAAAAAAGAGACCCTGTGGGAATGGGTGCTGAGGGTGAAACTGCTACTTGGGACACCCACAACCCCTACAGAGTGCCTGGGATGTCTCTGCCTCCACTTCCGACCCAGCTCCCCGTTACTACTCCTGGCACACAGCAGATAATGCTCCTGGCACGCAGGTCCCTCCCACCCATGCGAGGACTGGGTGGAGTTTCTGGCTCCTGTCTTCAACTTGGCCCAGCTCTGACTGTTTCAGTCCTTTAAGGAATGAATTGAGAGACAGATCTCTCTCTGCTTTTCAAGTAAATAAACAACTTGTTAATGTTGGTGGATTTTTTAAAGTATTTTTTGTAAAGGTTTATTTATTTTTAATTGAAAGGCAGATTTATAGAGAGAAGGAGAGACAAATGGCTACAACAGCCGGAACGGAGCCGATCCAATCCATCCGATCCAAAGCCAGGAACTAGGAGCTTCTCCCAGATCTGCTACACAGGTTCAGGCACTCAAGGATTTTAACCATCCTCTTGTGCTTTCCCAGGCCATGAGCAGGGAGCTGGATCAAAAATGGTGCAGCTGAGACTCGAACTGATGCCCCTATGGGGTGCTGGGTGCTGGTGCTGCAGAGGATTAGCCTATGGAACCACCATGCCGGTCACAAACAAACATTTTTTTAATAAGAAATAAGTAATAGAAAGCATAGAGCCCCGTCTCCCCACTACCTGGCTGTGTAACCTTGAACCATCCTGAAGTGAGAATGACACCAATGCTTCGCCTGCAGGATTCTTGGAATGGGGATCGTGCACGCCAAGTGCCCAGCCCCTGGAGCATGCGCCACAGCTCCTCGCCCGCCACATACAGCCCCATAGGATGCTGGCTGCACATTTGCACTCTACAGGGTAATCACCCAGCCTGCATTCTAATGATCAACATGTATATGCTGGCACAAGCTGCCACTTCCTGGGAGGAAAGGAACTCTCTCCATAACCCCTCCCTCACCTGACTCTGCCTGCCTCCACCCAGAGAGGAAGAGGGGAAGCCACCTCCAATTCACACCGCGTGGCCAGCTGTGGGGGTGGGGGCGGTGGCGGGTCAGCCCTCACAAATCAGTCACCTGTGAGGCTCCGAAGCTGCAGCTCTCGCAGCCCACCCGGGGTGACCCCTGGGATGGCGGTGGAATTGTCCTGCGGGTCACCATTGTCCAGCACGGCCAGGGCGAAGCTGTCCTCAAAGAGCTGGGTGCCTCGCACAATGCGCAGCCTCTGCAGCGGGACCTGCTGCACCTGATTGTGAGCGATGAGCACGTAGCCTTGCACCTCCTGGATGTCCTGGGAGGGGACAGTGCCGGGGAGGGAATGAGGGGCAGGTCTGGGCCCCCGAGCAGCCCTGCTCCCTCCTGCAGTACATGGTCCTCCAGGCATCACATTGGATCCAAAATAATGGGGAGGGGGCACATTGTGACCATCAAGCCCCACCCACTCAGCCTCTCAGTTTTCTCATCTGGAAAAGGGGAAGCCTGGACAAGCTGGCATCTACAATGTGATTAGGCCATGCCCATTTCTACTCTGCTGCTCGCCACTCTGTCCCAAACATTTCTGTTTTCCCAGCAGGTCAGTTGTTCCCACTATACAGATGGAAAAACAGAGCCAGTGCAGGGGGGCAGGACAGAAAGAACTGCACTTGGAACTCACCTCTCCCACCTTTCCACACTGCATATGTGGCTGCTGCAGTGGACATGGGGAGGCGGCCATGCTGGCCAGAGTAATTCAAAATATGGCAGAAAACAGATACAGCCCACCCAGCCAGGGTCTGGGCCAGCTACGTGACAGAGTGAAAAACAACTGATTGCGTAATGGAATGGATAGGAGTCAGACATCAGAAAGGACTTCCTGGTGGAGGAAAGACAAGAAGGAAAGACCAGGGAAGGGCACCCTCTTCTTCCACCTCCCCACCCTCAAATCAACAGAAGGGGCTCAGCCCCCTGGAGGCAGGGCCTGGCAGAGGTGTCCAGTAGTCTCACCTGCAGGAAGGAGAGACTGGCATTGGCAGGCAGGTAGGTGAGTTCCAGGTTCCCCTGCACCACCTGACAGCCCTGGTAGAGGTAGCGAAGCATGTCCAGATGGGTCTCAGGGCTGGCTGGGAACCGTAGCTTCATGTCGGTGCCGGTGCACACTGGTGGGAGGGAGGGAGCACACGGGTCAGAGGACACTGCCCTGGGACCTCCTCCAACCTACCTGTTTCCTCCACACCCACCTCCCGCTGCTGGGCACCCACAGCAGAAGGCAGCTCTTGGGTTGGAAACAAGAGGGAAATCTGGGGCTCCCCTTTGGCTGGAACCATCAAAGGGACCCATAGGGGCCTAGTGTGCTAGCCCCATGGGGTTTGCCTGCCAAGACAGGGTGTCAGCTGGCAAAGAAAGCCTCCCTTTGTCCCACAGACACCAAGCAGAGCCAAGGGGTAAAACCCCCCCCCAAGAGAGGCGATGATGAATCACATAACTTCCGGGTACCCCCTGCCCCTCTCCCATGCCAACAAACCCCAGGCATTCTCCTTATGCCATTCCCACACACCCACATGGCAACCTCCCAGCCAGCCCTATCCACCCCCACAGTGCCACCCAACAGATGGGACGGGAGGAGCACAAGGCGACCAGAGCTCTAGACACTGGCAGAGGCTTCCAGAGCGCGCCCTCATGCAAATAAAAGGAGCCTCATGCCATCTATGGGCATGGGGACCCCGGCGGCAGATCCCGGGCTGGGGTGAGGCATGCTCTGCAGGTTCCTACAGTTGGCACCCTTGCCCTTGCCACCTCCTCAGGGCAAGGCTCCAGAACCAGCTGGCAGAAATCTATGCCATGAAACTCCTTCCACAGAGGCACGTCACCAGCCCCGTAGATCTGTCTGGTGCCAACTAGGAGGCATTGAGATACACTGTTGTGCCTGGCTCCCCCCACCCTTGGACCTCAGTGTGGAAGTTCCTGAAACTAAAACAGGCCACGGAGCCTAGGGAGCCTCTGGGGGGTAACCCTCCCCTGGTGAGGGGCACTCTGGGAACAGCAGGTCAAACCCCCCCACACCGTGCGTGCCAGCAGGGGGGAGACGAAGGTGCCCAGCTGAACTTGTTTTTCTGCCCCAGCGAGAACATGAATCACCTGGTATATCCTGCCCAGGAGCTTGAGGGGAGTGGGCGGAGAGCACCTCAGTTACCCAGGCTTGCAGGTGCCTGAGCGCCTCCCACAGGACAGCACATCCATGGGACAGCACAAGAGGTGGCTTTGGGCATTTGACACTAGGGGCCCTGCTCTCCCAGTCATTTGCAGCTGAAGCTCAAGTCTTAAGGGGTAGGAAGATCCTCCCCAGCCTGCCTCCACAGAGCTAGGGGGAGGTTGGCACGGCAAGCCCGCAAGTTCCCTGGGAAGGAGAGGGGGCTCTTAAGACTGCCCAGGATGTTCCCAAATAGGAAAGGAAACCCAGAGCACAGGCACAGAGTTAGAACACCAGAGTCTCTCTGCTTTGGACACCGGGACAGGGGGTACTACCAGGCTTCCCCCATTCCTTGCCACTGCGCCCCTCCTTTGGCTCAACCCCTCCCCCAAAGCCTCCCAAAAGAAACAAGAGCTGCGGGTGGGAGGCCAGGCCCAAAATAACGCCCAGGCCGGGACCTCCCCCAGCTTCAGCAGTTCAGCTGCTGCATCGGCACAGCTGTGTCCAGGCCCAGACCCCGGCCCTGGCCCAAGCTGGGGACAGCGACTGACAGGCCCGTGACAGGAACCCATCATCCCTCAGGGCCCTCTACTGTCTTCAAGGGATACCAGCCATGGCAGCCAGTCCACAGGGAAGCCACCACCATGAGAAGAGCCACCACCTTGTCTGGACTGGGCTTACGGGCCTCCTAACGTCTTGGGGGCTGGGGCCATGATCTTGAGGAAAACAAACAGGCTAGCCTCAGAGAGAGAGAGAGAGAGAGAGAGAGAGAGAGAGAGAGAGAGAGAGAGAGAGAGAGAGAGAGCGTACTGCCCCAAGAGCAGCAGAAGTAGGACTTGAAGTTGCAGCCTCCCATATTATACACAGGGTGACAACAGTCACTTTCCTGATGTCACCAAACACCAGCCAGAGGCACTGCAGGGGGCTGGGCGGCAGCCACGCCCCACACACCAGTCTGTTTACCTGACTTGTGGCCAATCTGGGACTAAGACTCTGAAGTGTTTGCTGACAGGTGGTGAAAATTGGTACCCAGGGCCTGGGAGGCTTGTGGGATACTACCCGCCGCCCTGCCACCAAGCTGATGAGAAGGCACACTGCAGGCCTCCCCTGCACCCACCTCCCTCCCACCTGCCCCTTCCCTAGGTCCCTCTGTGACCCCCACGTCCACCCACCCACCCCTTGATGGGGAGAAGGTTCTAATGCCACACTGGCAGCCAGGACACTCATTCCTCGACAACCACAACATTCAGGGCTAACAGTGTGACAGGACCATTCCGAAGGCAGCATGGGGTCCACAGGACCAGGATTTATGTCTGCCAGAGGAAGAAATGAGGGACAGCCAAGAGCTCCAGATGCAAAGGGACTGGGCAAGGCAGTGGTTCCTGGTCCTCCGCAGGACATAATGGTTGAGGTTGGACTCTCAAGTGGTTGCTCTCCCCACTTCCAGGCTTCAGCCCCAGCTGCCTCTCTGGCTCTGAACGGGAAAGCCAGTGCTGTCTGTGATTGCCATGCACACTGAGGGAGAGGTTCACCTCCCCCAAATCCCTGGGGTGCGAGCCCACCAGAGCGATGCCAGGGCTCACTGCCCACACACTGCACCTGCAGGGTTTAGGCCATCTTGAGGCCAGAGCCCTCACTCAGCCATCTCCGTGGGACCTTGAACAAGTCCCTCCACCTTCAGGGCAGAGGCTCCGTCAGCTGCATCTCTGCACCTGTGACTTCCTTGGCACCCGGGCACTATGTCCCAGCCTAAACTTGGTCCTAATGACTCTTATGGCCTCCAAGCAAATATATGAGAGTTAAAATTAGGGAATGAATCCAGAGGCAGTCTGTGACCACAGCCAGGCTTTGTAAACGTAACTGGGGCAACACAAACATCGGCTGTAATAATTTTCCCTCTCCTTCAGAGAACATACGTCCTGTGCCCCAACCTCCGTTCTCTTCCCAGGGCTGGGGAAGGAGGGGAAGAAATGTCACTCCAGAATGATTTCCCACAGGTGGAGGTGGAGGAGAGATTTCTTTCCGGATCCTTCCATCACCCAAGGCAGAGCAAGCACATCTGCCCTGGGACCTGCCCCAGCCTCTGCACTCCCAGGTTTCCAACCTGTCCCTTCCCCACCCCTCCACCCCACCCTGGCCTTTCATACCCATGCATTCCCTCCTGCTCTAAGTCCCCTTGTTGTAAGATGTCATTGTAGGGTACTTGGGAGCAAACCTCATTTCTTGTCTCACACGAAAGAATTTTCATGCGGACAAACTCCAGTTTGCAGAGTATGATTTATTTAGGAAAGAGAGGAAGAGAACTCCTGTCTTAGTGACAGGAGAGGGCTCCAAGACAGAAAAAGCCCAAGGAAATGACGTAGAGGGGGTCTTTTATGCTCCATCTCAGGGAAGGGGTTCACATGAATCACCCCAAGGGCAGAAAGAAAAAAAAAAAAACTTATTCGAGATGGGCAGGAATTTCTACTGCCTTGCCCTGAAACACAAGATGAGACCGGTGCCTTCCTTCCCCCATCCTGAAGATGAACAAAAGTGGGCTCCTTGCTCTTGGATTCAAATGTTGATTCTGTCGCTTTGTTCTCTCCCCAGAAGGAGAAAGTACTTTTGGAAGGATTCAGGATAGGAGAAAGCCCTGTTCTTTTGCATTTTAAAATATTTTACCAGAGGAACACAATAAACATTGTAGCAGTTATCTCATCAGAGACCCTAACTGTCCCTCCGACACCCTGACATGAGAGGAAGGCAGGTATGAGCTGGTCAAGAAGGGGGAGTACTCCACAGCCAAGCAGGGACCTCAGAATCCCCCAGCTGAGCCCCACTTCCTCCAACCTAGAGCCAACCTCCACCCCAAAACATATCAGCACCTTTAATCCCTCGGGCTGCCACTAAGGCTTGGCTCCATCCATTCCTGGTGACTGGACTCTGGTCAACTTTCTCAAGGCCTCTTACTTGAGTCCCCAAACGCCCTAGACATTACTGGAAAGCTAAGGAGCACTGGACACAGCTCCTGAGTTCCTCTGAACTCCAGCTGTCCCCTCTGTGTCCCTCCTTCACAGGGTTGCCAGAAATAAAACACAACCCTCTGTGCATGGGAACCTGCCTACCAGAAGCAAACTGGAACTTCCTGGAAAGTTAAGGTAACAGAATTTCACCCAACAGGAGCACAGGGGACCTTAATTCAGGAGAAAGTACATATTCTACTTATTCTACATATTATACTTTGGAACACAATATATTTTTTTGTTTTAACCTTAGATCCTTCCTTTTCTAGTTTTATTTTTCTCTTGAATAGATAAAATGAGCACTTTAATAGTAAAAAGGGGGAAGAAGGCTAGGGGGGCGGAACCAGAGAAAAATGAAAACACAAATGAGGGCTTCCTGATTCAAAGGATGTGTTTGCTGCAACTGACAAATGCTGACCTCTAAAAAAGATCTCAACAAAATTCTGGCCTCTCACCTTGCTCCAGTCTCCCCTTCAGCCACTTCCCTGCTCCAAGCACTCAGCACCACCCCACCCCCCGCCCCAGGGGGTGCAGAACCTGGATGCACCTGTGTGACCATCCGCTGTGCAACACTTTGTGAGTGTCACTCTGTACTCAGCCAGGGAAGGTGGAGCTCTGAGGACACCAGGGAGTCCCATCAAAGTGTCAGCCAGGTCCCCACGCTCTGCAGTCCCCTTGGCCACTCCCAGGGCCAAGGAGAGGAAGGTAGCAGCTCAGCCTCACAGCCCATAGTCCCACTAGGAAGGGAAGAACAGCTTCCAGGGAGACAGGGACCTTCCAGGGCAGCCACAAAGGCCAGCAGGTGTGAGGCCACCTCCCGCTGTTTACAGCAGACCTGGCCCAGCACCTTGAGGGAGTTTCTAGAGAGGGCATAGTTCAGCCTGTGTCCCCAAGTCATCAGGAAGATCGCTGTTTGGCAACACAAAGCCAGATGCAGAGCACATAAACCCTACAACTCAGGAACACTTGGCACAGCCCCCTCACACACACTGACAGCACAGGCACCATGGGTGCACTGCCACCCACCACTCTCAGGGTTCCCAACCACCCACTGCTCCTAGAGCACCCTTGATCAGAGAGATTGCCCCCCTGGCTGGCACTGCACCAGTTCCACTCTGAGCCCCGCCACCCAGGGACCGCACCTTGCTTCTTTGGCGGCTGGCTTCAGCTGGAAGGTGGCACTACTAGTAAAACTTCTGTTATGGGTTGCTGGGAGGCCAAAGGAGGGGATGCATATGAAACACCCCACACGGTATGCCCAGCAGAGTGTACCTGGCACCAAGCGCATGCCAGCTTCCGCCCTTACTGCATGTGGCTAAACAGATGGGTCGGACTACACACTCCCCCCAAGGCACCCTCCCCTTGCCTGCACACAGCAGGAGGGAAGAAAAGACAGCACAAGCACTCAGCCCTCCCTATATGCCCATCAAGCCACAGAGACCATTGCCCAGGAACCCTCCAAGCCAGGAAACCCACCACCACCCCTTCCCGGCCGGCCACGCTCGCCAAAATTCACAAAGTGCGCAGGCCCTGCAGAAACTGGTTCAAAACAAACCGGGGCCCCTCCCCCTAAGCCAGACCCCAGAGCCTCGCCCCCCGCCCGCAGAGCAGGTTCTTTTGGCCACCTCCCCCTCCCCACCCCCGACCTCGCCTGAAACCGGTACCCAAATACTGGCGGCTGCAGGGGGCGGGGAGGGGGAGGGGCGGGGCAGAAGGGGACACCCCCCCCCCAAGGAATCCAGCCCAGTCCAGTCCGGAGGCGGAGGCTGCCAACTGGAAAAGCTTTGGGGTGGCTGGAGGGGGCTCGGCGTAGGGAAACGCGTACTCGTGCGCGCGCGCGCCGACACCCACCACGCAGGCCACCTCGGAGAAAACTTTGGGCACAGTCTCAGAGAACTTTTCTGACGAGTTCCTGGAGCCCGCAGGGAGTCGGGCGACGTCGGGCCGCTTCGGCGGAGTCGTCCCCCACCCCGCCCCCACCGTTTCTCGCCCCCTCCCGGCCCCAGCACCCCGCGCGCCCCGAGAACCTGAACTCTCCGAAACTTCGGCGGGGAGGGCTCATCGGGACCCCTTGGCCACTCGCCGGTCCGGGGCTTTGGGCCGGGGATCCAGGTTGAGGTGGGGGGGCCTATCGCTGTCCCAAGCCCTCCCCCTCGCCAGACCCACCTTGAGTTCCCGCGGCTCCAGGGGCCAGGAGGGCAAGGAGGAGCCCCCAGCGATACCAGGCCTCCAGCTCCATGGTGTTCATTGCGGCTCGGGCCCCATGGCTCCGGCTGGACCAGGCTGGAGGGCTGCGGGGCTCGACGAAGGGGGTTGGGGGCGGTCGCGCAGCTCCGGAAAGGTCGCCCCGGGAAAGGGCGCTCCTCGTCGCTCGGTTCCCGAAGGAGGGGAATCTCAGCTCCACAACTTCATTCTCGTACTTCCTCAAGCAGTCCTCCTCCTCCTCCTCCTCCTCCACCTCCTCCTCCTCCCGTGATTGGGAGCAAGCGCGCTCCCGGCTCGCCCCCCCACCCCCGCCGCTGCATTCCAGCAAGTCTGGGAGTGGCAATTCCAGCTTTGCTCTCTCCCTCTCTCGATGCAGGCCTGGGTGCGTCTCTGCCAGCGCCTGGGCGCCGGGGTAGCCCGCAGCCAGAGCTCGCGCGGGGCCGCCTCCCGGGGAAAGCGGGCCAGTTCTCCCGGCTGCCACGCTCAAGTCTCCCCGAAGTCCAAGGTTTTACCGGAGTAGTTTGTCTTCCGCTCCCGGCTTGTTTGTTGTGGGATCAGAGAGCGGCGTTCCTACCGCCGCCGCACATACTGGAGTAAAACTCCGTGGTGCGGGAGGGGGGCGTGCTGGGTTCCAGGGGTGGCCTCCAGGACTCTCTGGCTGGGGCTTCTCCGATACAGTAGGGACCCGGACCGGTCTGAAAAGCGCGACCTACAAATTTGGGCGAAGACAGTGAAATCGGAGGCACCCTGTAATCCGTACCTTCCCGAGCGCCCCATCCATCCCAGGTGCCTTCTCGGCTTCTTGCTTTTACCAGCCTGCTCCATGTTACTTCTCTGTGCCCCTTCCCCCTTGAAGCTCACATTTAAAACTCAGGAGGATGGGAGTGGGCCTGGAAGGAAGACATTTTTAGCTGGAAGACAAAACATCGCATTTTATACTAACAAGTTAAGCGTTGTTTATTTGAGACTAAAATTTCTTGGGCATCCTTATTTTTGTTTGCTCCATCTGGCAATTCTGGTTGGAACGTTGGGACCAGAGCACCCCAGTACTGGAGGAGAGTGGGAAGCTGCTGCAGGAGCTAGGGGAAGGAGATCACTGCTTCCTAGCTGCCTGGGGCTGGTGGGGTGGTGTTCTCCCAGATCCAGGCTGAGAGCCGAGGGCTCTAGGGTCCTGAAGACCTGCATTCAGATCTCAGCCCCTTTGCATGTCACCCCTGTGACCCAGGGCAAGCTGATGGAGCTTCTCCCAGCCTCAGTTTGCTCATCTGAAGCCGAGGTGCATGGCACTTAGCACACAATCATTGTCTGATAAACAGTCCCATGGGAGGTCATTTTTTTTTTTAGGTTTTATTATTTATTTTTATTGGAAAGACAGATCTACAAAGAGAAGGAGAGACACAGAGAAAGATCTTCCATCCACTCATTCCCTCCCCAGGTGGCCCCAATGGCCAGAGCTGAACTGATCTGAAGCCAGGAGCCAGGAATTGGAGCAACGTGGACACAAACTGGCTTCCCTGTGGGATCCGATGCTTGCTAGCAGAGAATTAGCCAATTGAGCCATCATGCTGGCCCCCTGGAGAAACCCTCTTCTTAAAAAAAAAAAGGAATATGAACTGATGCACACGGGGGCTGGGCACTATACGGTGGCAGGTTAAGCCACACTTGGGACACCTACATCTAGTCTGCCTGCAGTCTTGGCTGCTCCATGCTTCCAAGTCAAAGGCTTCCCACTGATGTGCCTAGGAAGTAGCTGGTGAGGTTCCTATCACCCATGTGGGAAACCTGAATGGAGTTCCAGTCTCCTGATTTTAGCCTGGCCCAGCCCTGGCTATTGTAGGCATTTGGGGGAGTGAACCAAAAGAAAAACCTCTACTCCCATCTCTGTGTTACCCTGTCTTAATTTTTCCAGAAAGCAACAGATACAAAGTTAGATACATACTTGCAAGTCAGAAACCTGATGCTCACCCTTCCTTAACCCCAGAGCAAGTCCTCCCCCACATCTAGCCAGCCGGTTCTGTGGTCAGGACTCATCAAGGGTGAGCTGGGCAATCAATGCAGAAGCTTAGCGCAAGACTTAAAGAGAACTAAAATGGGCTAGAAAGATCTCACATGTGGCATGCAGTGAGGGGTAGGAGAGATAGGTGCAGTGTTGTGCCTTGGATCTTTGTCACAAACATTAAAGAAATACTACTATGTAACCTTCACAAGTCATGTGTCTGTCCATTTGCTCCCTGAGTTAGAGTGAGGCTCCAAAGAGTTAAACAATTTACTCAGGATGCCCACGTGCAACTGGAGAGAGTATCCAGCAAACTCAGCCCCTCACCCTTCCTCCAACCTGCAGCTGCTGACACCCAGTGAGCACACCTCTCAACTTCTGTTTGCTTGTGGGAGAGGCCACAGCAACCTGGCTCTGGGCTCTGCCAGATACTTTCTGGGCACGCACTGGAGGGTTGCAGCCTTAGGGAACCCTGCTAGATATTAGGATCTGGGGTAGAGGTGTTTCCCAACACCAGTCCCTGCTCCTCGCTGGTCCTCACTGGTATTAGGAAGGGGCCAGCTGGGACAGCTGCACGGATGCCGCCCCTCAGGGCACCCTCCCCTGTGCCCTGTATCCCCAGGCCACATTCCTCATTCTTGAATCCCCCAGGCTCCATGGCTGTGGGGTCTATGGTTCCCCACTTTTGGAGAGCTAGAGGTAGCTCCTACAAGAAATCCAGGTGACTCCGCCACCTGTCCCCACACTGCCTCCAAGATCCTGCCCTCTTCCTCCCTTCACTCCCTGCCCCCAGACCCACATCCCAGATCCTGGAAGAAACCCACACTGGCCACCAGGCTGCGTCCCTGTGGGCAGTGGGGTGGGCGGGGCCAGTGGCAAGGGGCGGTGGGGGATGGGGTGGAGCTGGGGTCAGAATCCACAACAGCCGGGGAGGAGGAGGCTCTGCAGACCCAAGCCTCCCAGAGAGAATGGGCCCATTCAGAGTGGAGATGGAAGAGGAAAAAACCTTGTCTGGTGTTTGACAAGAGGGGAGGAAGGGGGCAGGGTGGGTGCTAGTGACTCGTTCTCTCTCCTCTGCTGTCCCTCCCAGGGGCCTGGCAGGACAGCCTGGAAGGAGGATGTGTGAGAGGACAAAGACAGGGAGGGGAGCAGAGAGGGATTGTGAGGCATGGCCAGAGCTGGGAGAGGACAGCACAGAGAACTCGGGCCCAGAGGCTGTGCCACCCTGGGAAGGGTGACCACAGGACAGTGATACCAGCTCCCAGAGCACATGCATGAGACTTGTCCTGCAAGATCTGGGGCACCAAGGACCGTGTGGGCAGTGGAAGTGACCACCAACACAGAAGAGGCAGGATGGGGTCTGGCTTAAGAAAGTGACTCCTTGGGGTCTGCTGCCAGTGGCCTGTGAAATGTCGGTCAATCATTGACCAGTCACTGAGGTCTGTGTGTGTGTGCATGTGTGTTGTGTGTACATTGCATTCAAGTGCACATGGGTGTGCATGTATGTGCATGAGTGTGTGTGAGTATGCTCGTTGGCACCAGAGTCTCCTCCCCTCTGCTACATCATCAGGCAGCCTGGGGTCAGAAGATTGAAAACAAACAGAACCAGGGAGGGGATGGCAGAGTCCACAGTCCGAGGTTCAGCCTGCCGCCTGCGGCCAGCAGCCCAGGGCCTTGAGCTGGGGTGTGGGTTGCTGGGGAAGTGTTTCTGGGAATTAGGTACTTGGAATGAGTCCCTCGGAGAAGGAGCAAGGCCTCCCAGAGGCCAAAGGAGAGTCATCTAGAAGCTTCTGATAACAAAATTGGACCTGCCTGAAGCTGGCTTTTTCATGGGCGGCCGCTCCCCACTCCAGGGCTCAGTGTAGGCTCCGGTTTCAAGGACAGCAAAGGCGGCAGAGCCCAGAGTCTCCAGACACCCAGACCAGGTTGTGGGGAGGCTGCCCCCTCCCTCCTCTCCCACTGACACCCCTCCCCAGGAATTCAGGCCCAAGGTCCTCCTATAAACTGCCTTTATCTCCCTGAGCTGCCCTGTTGAGGCCCAAAGCACTCCCGTCTCAGGCCACCTTGGCTTTCTGGGGGGCTAGCCGGCTCAGGTGCAGCTGGCAAGGCTCTGGGGCACTCTTGCTGCCCACCCCAAAGCCTGTGCTGCCCTTTCACCAGGCCCCGTGTTTACCTCTGGGTCTGCTCAGATGGTCCCTCTGCTTGTGTTCATTTCGCTGCCTGAGACATGCAGGAGAGAGCTGGGCCGCTTGATTCTGAATGTGAGTTGGAGCATGTTCTGGGAGACGGCAGGTGTCTCTGGGTCCCCAACTTCATTTGAGGCATTGCGTCACAAGCAAGTGCCTGTGTCCAGTGAAGTTTATTTTTGGTTGGTTGTTTGCTTGAAGATTTATTCTTATTGGAAAGGCAGATTTACAGAGAGAAGGAGAGACACAGAGAAAGATCTCTATTTACTGGTTCCCTCTTCAAATGGCAGCAATGGCTGGAGCTGAACTGACCTAAACCAGGACTCAGGAACTTCTTCTGGGTCTCCCACTTGCAAGCAGGACAGGAACCGGCACCCATATGGGATGCTGGCACTTGCAGGTAGAGGATCAGCCTGTTGAGCCATAGCACTGACCCCATGTATCCAGTGAAGTTTCCCAGGAATGGCCCCTCTTCCACATTTGCTCTTTCCAAGGCCCACAGAGCTCCCCTTTCCGGCTCACAGTCATGGAGACTTCCTGTTGCACTGGTCCCTAAGCTCCTAAGCTCCACTCCCTACCACCCTCCCAGCTGGAGCTGTTGATTCCTGGGGTTTCAATGAGGACACTCTTGCCTCTGGCTTAAGGAGCAGATATGAAGAAGCTTCCAGAAGCATAGAACTATGGCAATCACAAAGCCCTGATTTGGAGGGACAATTCCAGGTGAGACCCTGGCACCCACGGAGTTCACACTCTTGGGTTTTCTCTTTCCTTGCTATTGACATCCCCTCATTCTTGAAGATCTTTGAACTCTGCTTCCAATCCATCCACATGTTTTCTACCTCCGTCATGGGC